GTTCCTCAGCTAAGGTTGGGGCTTCTAACTCATCTTATGAAATGCACAAAAATTCAAAAAATGTATATTGTAAAAAAAAGAAATTATGCATTCAACTGGGGAAATAAACGTGAATATTTATTTATTTAGAGTGGAATACTTTGGAATTCATTTGTAAATAAGTGACTTTTCCAAACATTTTATTAGTAAAATATCAGACTCAGTTTCACATACTGGAGAATAAGTATTTTTAATATCATTCTTACATCAGATTATGGCTTTGTTTAATATTTGCCAGCAATTTTGAACCCTGTACACATTCCAGGTAGTCATGGATATCAAATCTCACCTCATTTCCAATTAGTTAGACCCTACAAATGATGGCAGAAAACGTGGTTCATGGTTTCAGCTAAAATGTGATGGAACAGATGTCAGAATGGAAAGATAAAGTAAGATTAATAGACAGTGGATAAATGCATCTTGATTTTGTAATTTTGCCAAGTTGTACCTCATTCTGGATTATTACGTTATTATTATTCTTACAAAGAAAATTAGAGGTACAAACACAAAATTAAATTAAAAATTTATTTTCATATTACTTCTTTCTTTATCTTTAAGAATATCAAATCTCCATAAGGGCTATCACATATAAATAAATGTATATTAAGAACAAAATTGCTAAGACCTGCTCAGCCAGGACTCTGATGGAGGCTACAGCAGAATTGCACATCTGGTCACAGAGAACATGTTTGAGTGATGCCCAGTACTGGATGACACATCTACAACTAAGACTCATGGAACATAGTGGAATAAGGGGTAGAGAGAGGGCTAATGCACCCCTCAACTCTCACCACTGAGGCTTCCATATACAGCAAAGTGCGATGTACACAGAAGGCCACAACTGACCAAGTTTTGGAGAATAAGAGACTGTAGCATGTAGGATGGGGTTATTATATGGGACCTCACCCACCTACAGCCCAGTGACCATTGTGGAAGAGGGGGTGGAAAGATTGTAAGGGCCAGGATTGGTTCATGAACACTGGGAGGTGGAGGCTTCCGGGCCACTGGAGGCTTGCTCATAGGAGCCTGTGGCAGTGGTGGTGTCAAGAGCAAGACCCATGTCAACTCAATTAAACAAAGACCTAAAGGGGAGAGGAGAAATAGGTAACAGGCCAGGACTAGACTGAGAACTGTTTGAGACTGATTGCTGCTGGGTGAGGAAGAGTATGACTTACATACAACCACTGAATGGGCTGACTAGACTCCAGCAGATGCATTTACACTGAAGGACATTTGGGTACAAACAACTGAATAAATAGGACTTAGTAAGGGGATGAGGGAGGCATGGATGGCAGGAGGTCTGGATTTGATTGGGAAATGTATGTAATTTTTAAAAACTCAAAATATTTGAAATGATGCCAATGGAACATGGGAGTATTTACTGAGAGACTGGAAGGGAAGGAAATAATGCAAAGACAATACTCATGTATGAAATTCTCAAAAATAAAAAAATAAAAGGAAGCCCGGCATGATAGCATATGCCTTATTTCCAGCACGCAGAAGGCAGAGGCCTGCAGATCTCTGTGAGTCAAGTTCAGCCTGGTCTACACAGTGAATTCCAGACCAGCGAAAGCTACAGGGAGACTCTGCCTTTAAAAGACCAATAAACAAACAACTAAATAAATAAATAAATAAATAAATAAATAAATAAATAAAT